GCTGTCTGAAAACGGCTACCATCATTCCTGTCCCCAAAAAGACACCAGTCAGAGAGCTCAACGACTACAGGCCCATAGCCCTAACATCGGCGGTGATGAAATGTTTCGAAAGACTGATAGCCGACTACATGAAAGCCAGCCTCCCACCCTCCCTCGACCCTCATCAATTCGCCTATAGAGCCAACAGATCCACGGATGATGCCATCGCCACGGTCCTTCACACAGCTGTGAGCCACCTAGAAGGCCCAGGCAACTATATAAGGATGCTGTTTGTCGATTTTAGCTCAGATTTTAACACCATCATACCTGACATACTAGTGGAAAAACTGTCAAGCCTAGGTTTCCCCTCCATCTTATGCGCCTGGATGAATAATTTCNTTTATACATTTAAAAAAAAAAATATTATTAATAATAACGTTTGCATAGAAATTTTCAGGGGCGGACTAGCCATCTGTATAATTTCCCCGCAACGAGGCTCCCCCGAGCCTCGTTGCGGGGAAATTATACAGATGGCTAGTCCGCCCCTGAAAATTTCTATGCAAACGTTATTATTAATAATATTTTTTTTTTTAAATGTATAAAAAAAGTTAATCAATTTTTTTTTATACATTTTTTATTTTTTTTTTCATTTTTATTTCTAATCATCTCGCGACCCCCACTTTGGCAACCCCTGACCTAAAGTATGACATTTAGAGCATCTTCAAGAAGTAATGTTATTGTGTGCATTCTTGATGTAACCCACTGTGTCTAAAATGTAATCATATTCAGCTCAATATGCTATCATGATATGAGCCATCAATGAACATGACAACACACGCACACATAAAAGAGTGTGTTATCTCCAAACTGCAGTGTGTGGAGTTGGACATCCTGTGTCAGTTGGTGAGAAAGTGGAGCTGCAGTGTTGTCTCCTTCCCTTCAGGGGGCGCACATGCACCACATGTTTCAAAAGAAGCATGCTGTACAGTAAGCTGAGGTAGTTGCATTCAAATCTATATTATAACATAGTAGTGTTGACATGTGTTCTGTTATTCAGACATGCCTCTGTTTCCCCTTTCAGAAAGACTGCTGTTGGATATGACTCTCAAACACATCATGATTATATCCAAGGTTGGTTATGATCTATTTAATAGTCTCCCAACGTATCAAAGATAATAAAAGCTCTTGATAAAAGCATCCATGTTATAGTAGTTTCCACAAACAGGCTGAAGGGAGAGCAGTCATACCCTTCAGAAGCAGAGGAGCGCTAACGGACGGCCTTGTGAGTGAACTTGGCGGCCTGTGGTTCCTAATCTTTCCCCGTCATTTGTTGCCATTTCCCCAGAGCAGAGCTGGCGGTCACAGCAGCAGATAAACAGCAGATAGAGACAGTTCATTTTATTATTTCATGTCTTCTCTTTTACAATGTATTGTGTTTCTTGTGAAGGTTTCACCATTTTCTTTCTTGGGCTCACTATAGTTTGAATGTTTCACTAGCAAGAGAAACTTTTCATATTATTACGAATTATTTGATTTATAAGACATTTTAATCTGAATGATATGCACTCTTAACACTAGAAAACGTATGATCCCCCAAAATGTATCTATGAAAAACAGAAACTGAAAATGATTCTTCCTCTAAGACTAGTTGAAAGAAAACAAACAAAATACAAATGTGTCTATGAGCTTCTGCAGATTTCTCCTAAATTATACAATAACAATATTCAAATACTTTTCTCTTATCTAATTTTTACGTAGTTTTCTCTTGTCTCACAGATTCAATATATTACATGTCTAATATATGTAATATTTAATGTGAAGCGCTAAAATAAATACAATTAATTATTAATAAAATGGAAAAATCAAATAAGTATTTACACTTAAACACTTATTTAGATAAGACAAAGCCTTGTTTAGAAATTAAATAGGACACTTTAGAAAACTTGCAATCGAAAAAGTAATTATCTTAGTGAAAGATATGAACTGGGGAAGTTGCATGATGATGTGTCAGTACAATATTCACCTGTAGTGATTTAGGGTCAACTTTGGGCACATTTGATAAGTACAATCAAATAGGACACCCCTCGTTTCACCCTGTTACATCACATGACATCAATACATTAACTTCCCATCCCCACAGCCCAGAGGGAATCATGGGAAATATGCATGACAACACTTATGTTGGTTAGTGGACTGTTCATGAAACTATGCTGCACTAGAAATGATCACAAGTTAGACGTTTGGTAATGAACTCGTACAAATGCTGATCGTCAAGATATTTTGATGATGATTTGGTGTGTGTGTGTGTGTGTGTGTGTGTGTGTGTGTGTGTGTGTGTGTGTGTGTGTGTGTGTGTGTGTGTGTGTGTGTGTGTGTGTGATGAGTGGGTGTCGGGCCCAGATGTTCGCAGGGCCGTGCATGAATGCAAGTCTTATTTCTTCTTGAGGTCTGCAGTGAAGCGTGTACACATTTGCTGAATATGAAAACACTCAGTGTGTGTCCACAGATTATGAAACACAACCGAGAGTTCATCTGACCCGAACATGACTCGTTTATTTTGAAACAGTGAGGGAAAGTAAATCTATATGCTTTCTTTTATAACATCTTCCTTAAAACCAATGAAGATAGCTATCTGTAAACGAGTTAATTCGACCTTGCAGTCCTTCATGTGCCTGCAGATAAAACCAAATGATTTATTGCAACTGGTATCATGTCCTAACACCTAAAGAGGACAGGGTGCTCCTTGCTGTCTAACCGTCAGGGAGTGTGAGGGTGGTGTTGCCAGCAGCAGGTGGATGTTGGGGGTCTGTGGCCTCAGTGATAACCTATCAGTCATCTCACAGAGCTCAGCGGCAACCCCAGCCCTGCAGCACAACACAACACAACACACTGCACTTATGCATTTGAAATACACTGCATTACTGAGGAGATGGTATAAAAGGACAAGAAATGTTACATGTTTCTTTGCATTTATGGATTTACAGTTATTTTATGTTGCAAAATCCTGTGAAAAAGCATGCACTATGTAGTGTAATCTAATCATACTGTAAGACATGCTCAAGTTTGATCAGTGTGATACAGTTATCTCTTTTTATAATAATGGAAACTGGAACCTGAAAGTGTCCTCTAATTACTGCAGGACATTTTTATTTTTTTACTACATTATGTGGTCAAAGTGATGGTGGCTGCTTTTACTCAAATAAAGAATCTAAAAAAAAAAGTCCAATATACTCAAATCCATGTCTTTGGTCTCTAGAAAGTAGCGTTACCACATGATGAAAATACTTTGTAAGTACAAAAAGTTTAGGTACTCATTGTGGAGAGTGGCCATATCATCTCATTAATTAATAATGAGTTCACAATAATGTGTAAGTGTCTGGTGAATGTGGGGCTATTATCACCTAATACGGTGCTGTAATGTTATTATTATTATTATTATTATTATTTTTTTTTTTAAATAATTGAATCTGT